ATTATTATTATTATTATTATTATTATTATTATTATTATTATTATTATTATTATTACTATTATTATTATTATTATCATTATTATTATTATTATTATCATTATCATATCTATTGTTATTATTATTATCATTATTATGATGATAATGATGATGATGATTATCATTATCACTGTTGTTTTCGTTACTATTGTCACTATTATCATTATCCTTATTGTTATCATTATTCTCTTCCTCATAACCATCATTATCAACATTGTTATATCCTTATCATCATCATTATTTTCTTTTTATTATTTTTATCCTTGTTATTGTTGATGTCATAACTATCATCATTATCATCATTATTGGTATTGTTATCATTACCATTACTGTTATCATTATTGTTATTACTATTATCTATACTATCATTCATTATCATCTTCATTATCATCAACATTATCATTATTGGTAATATTATCATTATTAATATCATTAACATTATTTTTATTGTTACTATTGTTATTCTTTATTATCATTACTATCACTGTTATTATTATCACTACCATCATCATTATCATCATTGCTGTTATTATCGTTATCATCATTATCATTTTTGTTATTATCATTAATATTTATATTATTATCATTATTGTTGTTGTTGTTCCTGTTGTTGTTGTAGTTGTTTTTATCATCACCATTATCATTAACATCATCATTATCATTATTATTATCATCATCATTATTATTATTATTATTATCATTATTATTATTATCATTATTATTATCATTATCCTTTATATCATCATTATCATTATCATCATTAGTATCATAATCATCATTATCATTATCCTTAATATAATCATCATATTTATCATCAATATTATCATTATTACTGCCATTATCATTATCATCTTTATCATTATCATTATCATTATTGTTATTATTATTATAATTTTTATTGCTATCATTATCCTTATCATCATAATCAATAACCTTGTTGTTGTTAGTATTATTTCATTGTTATTATTTCCTTTATTTTTATCATTATCATTATAATTGTTGTTCTTATAACCATCATTATCATTATCATTACCACTATTAGGATTATGATTATCATTATCACTATTATCATTACCATCATTATCATATTATCATGACTATTATTATTGCATTGTTATTATCATTATTATAATATTTATCTTTGTATATTATCCATATCATTATTATTATCATCATTATCATTATTATCATTACTAACATTATCATGATTATCATTACTATTATTATTATTATCATCATTTCCATTATTATTATCACTATCTTTATTGTTCCTATTATCATCATTCTTATTTCATTATGATCATTATTGTCAATATCATTCTTCTTAATATTATTGTTACTATTATCATAATTGTTATTATCATTATTATTATAATTACTACTATGCTTTATCATCATCGTTATCATTCTTATTATCATTCATACTAGTAGCCTGATTGTCATTATTGTCATTATTATTAACGTTCTTCTCATGATCATTATTATTATTATGATTATCATTGTTAATATTATCTTTATTATTATTTCATTATCACTCATTATTATTGTCGTTGTCGCTGTTGTTGGTAGTGCTGTTGTTATTATCGCTATTATCATTATTATCTTTTTTTTTTATCTTATTCGTTTCTCTTATTGTTATCATTATCTTTATTATTACTATTATTATTATTATTATCATTATTATTGGTAACATCACTATTATCACTATTATTATTACTCTTATTATTATCATTATCGTTATCATTACTATTATTGTTATCATTATAATCATTATTATTATTAATATTATTATCATTATCATTATCATAATTATCATTATATCCACCATTGTTATAATTATTATCATTATTATCATTATTATCACTGTTCATATTATTATTGTTTCTATCACTGTAATCATAATTATCATTATTTTTTTCATTATCATTATCATTATTATCAATTCCTTTATCATTGCCATCATCATCAGCCTCATCACCTCCATCATCATCAGCATTTAGTATCATTATCTTCACATCTGTCATCACTATCCTCCTCTTCCTCTTTTTCCTCCTCCTCCTCTTTTTTTCCCCTCCTCTTCCTCCTTTTTCCCCTCCTCCTCTTCCTCTTTTTCCTCCTCCTCCTCCTCTTTTTCCCTCCTCCTCTTCCTCTTTTTCCTCCTCCTCCTCTTCCTCTTTTGCCTTCTCCTCCTCTTCCTCTTTTTCCTCCTCTCATCTCTCTTTCATCCTCATCATCTTTTTCCTCCTCCCCTTCCTCTTTTTCCTCTCCTCATGAACAAGAGGAATATATTTTATCACCATCACAAAAGGAATAACAATGAAAATAAGGAAGAAAACATTAGATCAAAGCGTAACTTTAATATACAAGCATATAAACCTTCGGGCAAGCAATATAAACAACAGGATGTACACATATTAAATGATACAAAAGTGACGCTGAACTTCAGAATTTCACATCAAAACATTTAAAAAGGAAAAAAATAATAATAACGGATATTCACATTTGAGTTTGATGTTTCAAGAATTTTAATATATTTTTTTTAATGTATTTTTTTTCTTCGTCAGATTTGAACGCATACGAAACAAAAGAGTATCGGATTCTGTGAGGCTCATGTGCCAAACAGAGTATTGAAACGAGTCTAAACTAACACGGACTATGCTAATTTACATATAGGTTCCATTAATTCCTAGCACTTATATTTTCTTTTTTTTTCTTACTTTTGAAACATGTCATATGTAGTGTGTATCTTTTTCTGTTTTTTTTTTATATATCTATTATTTTTTTCATCTTTTAAAAAGGATTGGAAGTGTCATTGTATAAGCCAATTATGTGCATTCAAATTAACAGAATTTTCCATTTAGTTTATTTAGCTTATACATAATATTGCATCTGTACAAGAATCAAGTAAATGTACAAAATACATTGCAGTGTCATTATGACATTGCAAGAAATTAATTATACAGAAACAATTCAGTTATACATAAAACTAATTCACAACAGTATCAGTGATATAGAAGCAATTAATCTCTCATATAATAATTTACACGAATCAGGATATATACACAATAATCTTTAAAAAATATCAGAACCACTTTTTTAGTGAGGATGCAGGCGGGGTGTGGACGGTGCAATACTGGAAGAAGAAAAATGAGAAAAGGAAAAGAGGATGATAAAAGTGAAGATGAGGATGAAAAAAGAAAAAGGAGGAGGAGGAGGAGGAGGAGGAGGAGAAGAAGAAAGAAGAAGAAGAAGAAGAAGAAGAAGAAGAAGAAGAAGAAGAAGAAGAAGAAGAAGAAGAAGAAGAGGGTATATGATGGAGGACCAGAAGAAGAATGAGAAGGAGAAGGAAGAAGAGGAGGAGAAGGATGGCGAAGAAAAAGAAGAAGAGGATGGTGAAGAGGTATAAGAAGAAAAGAGAAAGGAAGAAAAAAACAGGGAGGAGGTAAAGTGAGAGAAATGAAAAATGGCAAATCATCACTCATTGAAGAAAAGGCAACACTGGAAAAAAGAGAGGAAGAAAAAGACGACAAAAAAAAAAAAATAAGAAAAAGCTAAAGTTCTCAAACTGTTATACAGTAAAGAAGAAGAGGAAGAATAAGATGAATGCTAATAAGAAAAAGCAGCAGTAGAAGACGAACAAGCAGACAGAGAAGAAAAAGAAAAAGGAAAAAAAAATCCAGTCACACCTTCCAGTAACACACGCCCCAGATACTCCCCCCGGGGCGTGTCTCCATCCCCACGCCCCCAAAACACCCCTTGCATCGTTCTGAATGAGTCCACGGGTTTCCATCTTCCCCGATGACGAGACATGAGCTCCGCCAATGGTCCCGCACCTTTCTCTACGGTCCAAGCAATCTTCCCATGACACGTTTTCTTCGTTTGGATGTTTTGCTTTGTTTGAACTGAGTGATGTATTCGTGAACGTGGATAAGGGTGGTTGGTTTGGCTTTTTCCTTTTCCGTGTTTTTATCCAGCGTTCCCTACATCTACAGTTGAAGCAGAATTCCCTTTGGATCCTTCTCTTGTCTTGGTGTTCTGGTTGTCGTGTTTTGTGCGAACGACGAATACTTATGTGATGTATATATATATATATATATATATATATATATATATATATATATATATAATATATATATATATATATATATATATATATGTAGTATATAAGACCTCAGTTTCACGTTCCTAGTGCTAAACGCTTGCGAACGCCTCGCGCGTTGTGTGATATGCTCGACAGCACAGCTAAACCCGATCCTTCTCAACTACCTCTGGCCGGAGACTGTCTTCCCCCCAATACTCTCTATCCTTGGCTCTTGGATCACTTACGCCAACACTTATCCGCGGAAAGTGCAACAGGCTGATCCATAGTGGTAACAGGTTCTAAGAGGGACTCGCCCACGCAGCCGCGCCCGACGCTCGACCTGATCTCTGTCGACGCAGGGAAGGCTGCTGGAGAGAGCGATTCCCTCTTGCTCAGCGCTTCGTCCTTCCCCTCACGACCCCGAGCAGGACAAGTTGCTCGTTCTGTTCAGGGGGACGAGCTGGCTTTCTTTTTCGCCTTTCTTTAAATCATGGAAATACATCGAAAAGTTCGACTGAATTGCGGTTTCCGCGAGGACTTGCTACGTCCTTCCTTGGTTTCTCTCTCGCTTGGAATCGTTAAGCTGATCGTAGCGAATTTTCTTGTTCTTTTTGCAAGGAAAATGATGGAAGGGTTATATATATATGTATATAATAGCTTTCCCTCGGTATATAATATATGTCTGGTTTTACCTCTCTGTTTCATAGACGGTTGGTCAAATTGTAAATGGTAATGTATAACTCTTTCTCTGCAGGGAAAAATCAAATTCATTGAGAGGTACGTTTGTAAAACAAAACAAATAAAGAAAAAGAAAGTTGAAATATGGGTAGGAGGAATTGGATATGTTGAATTCTGAGACGGCATTTTGCCCTTTACGCTCTAAGATCACAACTCATACGAGATGAATTTCGAACAGTGTATCACTGTGCAGTTTTTTCCGATGCTTAACTGCACTTACTTTTCTCTATACGTTTTATAGATAAGCATTCAACAAAAATCTATATTGTCTTGCATTTAGAGAATGAGACACTTACGTTCATTCTCTAAAGCCCTTTTTCATGAGTGATATTGCGTTCCCTTTCATCATAGATCGGCATACTCGGGTCCCCTGCAGACCTCGAAGTGGTCCAGGAACTGGAGGTGCTTCTCCGGAGGGAACAGCATCTGGCAGGAGGGGCACACGAGGTCCCGCCGCGTCATGGTGGCTACGCCGTCGTTGGCGGGCGCCGCCTTCGCCGCGTCTGGCCCCTGGCCCGGCCACCCCGGGGCGCCCACCCCCACGGGCGACCCGAGCGGCTCGCACTTGTTGCCCAGCTCGTAGCTCATGATGGCGGAGGAGATGTTCTTGGACGCCATGGAGCGGAGGTCCTCGCAGGGCCTCTGGTTGACCGCCGGCAGCGGCGACGTCGCGGCCGAGTTGGTGGCGGACGACAGGTTGGACGACGGCGGCGAGTTCACGGCGGGGGTATAGTTGAAGGTGGCGGTCGAGGACATGCTGTTGGGCGACGTCGGGCCGCTCGTGCTGTCCTCGTGCGACGCGCGACGCGCCTGGTCCAGCTGCTGGCCCGACACGGCCCGAGCGGTGCGCCACGGGAGGCCCGAACTCTGACGATTGTTGGCCTGGCCGCCCATCAGCCTGACCCATGTCGAGTTAACCAGCTTACCCCCTGCTGCCGCCCGGGAGTGTGCTGCGCCCCGGCTCTCGACGGACCACCAGTGCTCCTCCTTGACGACGTTCGAGGCCGGATGCTCCAGGATGGGCGGGCTCTTGACTCCCGACGGCGGCAGCGTTTGTCTGTACGACTGACCAGCAGATACAGAGTCTGGCGTCGGGCTCTTGACGGAGGAGGCGGAGGTGCCGCGCGAGGAGGGACACGGCTGGGGGCTGCGGATGCCATTCTGCTCGGGCCGGAGCGCGAAGAAGATCGCGCCGGGGATGCCTCGCCCCTCGGAGTTGAGCCCGAACGTGGTCAGGGACACCCCGGGCGAGGAGGAGCGCGACGACGTGGCCGACGAGTAGGTGGAGGCGCTGGAGGTCGGGTGCGCCCCCGCCGTCCCCGCCGCCGTCGTGGTCACGGTGATCGAGGCGAAGGCCGTCGAGCTGGCAGAGGCGGCCCCGGTCTTCGGCAGGCCGTTCGCCGCACTCGCGTTGGGCGCGGCGGCGGGGCCTGCCGAAGGGGGGTTCGCTGCCCCGGCGGAGGTCGCCGCCGCTTTGTTTACAGTACCTGCTGACGCTTTGGCAATGACAGTTGTGTTGTCAGCGGCCGACGACGGGTTTGAACTGGCTGCTGTTTTCGTGGCCGTATTCTTTGTAGAGGCGCCGGCTTTACTGGAGTTTACTGTTGTTGTCTTATTGGGGACAGCTGCGACTGCAGTGGACGTCCCCGGAGTACTTCTGCTTGTAGTCGCTGATGTATTTTGACTGTTTGTAACAGCTGTAGTTCTGCTGGGAGCAGCAGTGGTGACTTTACTAGAAGTTGAGGCTGTAGAGTTTCTTGCGGTGGTTGTGGTGACTGATGTTGATGTTGTAGTACTGTTAGAAGAAGCGACTGTTGTATTTTTAGAAGCCACTCCCGTCGTGTTACTTGATGTGGTGACTGTGCTGTTACTACTGGTAGTTACTTTGGTATTGTTTGATGCTGCAGCTTTCGTGCTGGAGGCTACAGATTTTGTATTGGTGGAGGAGGCAGCTGTTGCGCTGGAGGAAGCAGTCTTCGCAGCGCTTGAAGGGGCGCTTGTGGTGTTGCCAGTGGTGGTGACTTTGGTGTTGTCAGACGTAACTACCGTTTTTGGAGGAGACGATGAGTTGGATGGTTTGGAAGCATGATTATTGGCAGCTGAATTAGACGACTCAGTGGCCGCAGAAGATGCGGCGGACTGTGTTTTCTTCGGAGCGTTATCGGCCGCAGCGGCGGTGTTCACGCCTCCTTTAGCCGGCGCCGCGGCTTCCTTCCCGCCGCTGTTCTCAACTTTGCTGCTTCCGGAAGGCACCTCCTCCACACCGCTCTGAGCATTCGTGCTCGCCGGGGGCGAAACGCCTCCCTCGCCTTTGCCGCTCACGCTGGGGGCTTCGCCGTCGAGCTTCGCTCCGGGAGCCTGCGACGCGCCGCCTCCGCCGGCCGGGAAGGAGAGGCCGATGGCGGCCGGCGAGGAGTCGCTCCGGGCGTGCGCCGGCAGGAGCGCCTCGCCGTGAGGCTGGGCGAGCGCTGACGAAAGGCGCTGACGGGGGCGACTGGGCGCTCGAGGAGTCGGGGCGGACGCCCGTGCCAGAGGGGGAGGTTTCGCTGCGGGCGCGGGCGGAGGAGGAGGCCTGCGACGCTGCCTGCACCGCCTGCGTGATCTGCTTCATGGTCGACGGGCGCTTGTGGGCGACGAAGGGCTGGCGGAAGTTGATGGGCGTGAGGATGGTAGAGGTGATGGGCATGTAGCCCTTGGGCATGTTGGGCGTGGACGGGCTGCGGGTGAGGCTGGGGCCGCAGGGCGTCGGGGGGCCGCTGGACACCGGGGACACCGGGATGGCGCTCGCCAGGATGGAGCGCGCGCGGTGCTTCGCCGACTTCTCGTCCTCGATCAGCCCGACGCCCTTGCCCGCCAGCGGCTGCAGGTTGCCCAGCACCTTCGGCCTTGCGCCCATCGCCTCGTACTTTTTCTTCTCGTCAGCGACGACGCCGACGCCGCCCGTCTTGGATTCGGCGGAGGGGGCGTTCCCCGCCGTCGA